CTGAGGTCTACTGAAAATATGCTGAGATTTCTGACTCTATACTCTCTCTTACTCTCTACTTGTTCCTTTGTCTTATACACACTACTTTTCGATTCAAGATGAACTGTCAGCATTTGGCTTACAGTATTTGATACAATAAACTGTAACCAGAATGAAATTGCCCTGTAAGTAATAATGCCATGATTTTGTCCAGTCTGGTTATAAATGTCTTTGTGATCAAACATCAACATTTCTGGAAGCTTACAGGAAAGAAAGAAAGTGTACTGCACTTCAGATATGTCCTGTTATCCCACTTACATTTTGTTTCTTCCTTTGAGGCTATTAACTTTTAAATTGTGTAATTTCTAGGGAGAAAAGTAGAAGTTATTCTTCAGTAATAGTCAAGCTATATATATGTGAAGCAAGAGGTAGTGAAAAACTTCTGTGTGTTTTTGAATGTTAAGCATGTTGCAAATCTGCTCCGGTTTAAATTCAAAGAAGAGTTTTAATTTTCCATTTACAAGCAAAATATCCTGTGTAGAGTTAATATTTTGCTACCACTGATAGAAAAACTCTGGTCTGACTTAACCTTTAAATTCCAAATTAACCCTAATCCAGATAGGCATATTCCTTCAACATTCCTTTCGAGTTGTTCAAATGCCACCAGTCTTCTGGCTTCTTTTCTGGTTATTGGCTGGTCGTGAAATTGAACTGCTGTGTATAAAAGAAAATGTGAAAATAAAGTCTTCATAATGCTTCTGGATTTTTTTGAATACTGCTGTTAAGGATGGAAATGCATTATTCTTCTTGGAAGTCCTGAGGAATTCAAGCAAATTCTAAGAGGCAATTAATAACAATTGTTCGTTTTGCAGTATGACTGGCATTTACCTGCACCTCTGCTGAACTGCATGGCCACTTGCATCCTGATACCACCTGGGATGCCAGATTTGACAATTAAATTTTTTTTTTATCACACAGAAGTGTTTGGAAAGCATTCCCTAGTTTTCTGATTCCCAATAACTGAGTTTGACAAATCAGTCATTTGTCTCCAGTGTCTTCCCTTAGACTGTCCAGCTTGTATAGTTATCCAAATAGAGTACTTTTGGCTAAGAAATTCATTGCTTTTCATTTTTACTTGTAGTATCACCTGTTAATTTAGCGTATGAAAACTTGATGAGTTTGCAGCTCATGTAGGGATCTCACTGTCTCTTTTCACAAGACCACATAATAGTTTATACCAAGAGTTTCTTAGGGCTTCTTAGGATTCTTTGGGTCCTCTGTTCGAGAATCACTTTGCTCAGAGCGACCACAAGGCACCCACAACTTCTTCTCATCTCAATCTGCATAAATTATTCTGTGCACATATATTATTCTTCCCCTCTGTTCTGCTTTAATATGAGCTATCAGAAGTGATGAAGCACTGGTGCAGCCTTCACAGATGTGACTGTTCCTGGGCATCTTAATGTAGAACTTTTCCAAATGGTCGTTACTCTAAAATAAGCAATATTACTTTCTACATTATTTTACTGTTCTTACTCTTTCTCTATCTTTCTGCCCATGGAAAGATGAGATGAGGAGGATAAGATAACATAGGAAGTCTTGCAGCGTTAAGTGAGGATGATGACAGTGAAAGCTCTGCTACTACTTTCTGCTGTCTAGGTAATTTATTCAAGGTTTCAGCAGCTTTTAGATAGAAGCTGGACTGCTGAGGAGTGAGAAGCTGCAATCAGCTGTCATCTTACAGTCCCTGAATACATCAGTCTTGCTTAGTTGCAGGGGAGGGTCATGTATTTTTTAAAATGCTCCCCTCTTTTTATTAATTTAAGTTGAACAATGAAAGGACATATATGAGGGTGTGCACAGTCAGACTGAGATGAGGCTTCATGAGCAGAATTTCACGTTCTGAATGACTTTTCCTTTCAGTGCCTAACCTCTGCCACTGCTATTTCAGCCATTTTCAGGAGGAGAGCTGAGGCTGTGACATGAGGGAGAGCTGCATTATGCATCCTCAGGAAATCACTTATTGCCTCTGAGCAAGGCTTTCTCTTGGATGTATGTGGCACAGTATACCATTGTATGTTATGATTTTATTAGATGTTTCAGACTTGTTGCTGCTCACTTTCTATGGGAAACCTTAAACCTTTGTTTTCCTTAAACAAAGAAAGGATGAAACAGTTTGTAGCACTTTGGTATATTTAAAAATACTCATTACAGTGCTAGCAGTTGAAGTTGTTTGGCACGATGTGTCTTTTTTAAGTGTGAGAAGCAGGGCTAATTGTGTGGAGGCCATTAATCTGCCATTTACGAAAGCATCCCACCAAGGTTTCTGGATGGGAAGGGTATGCATCCTTGCTATTTGACACTTCTCATGGAGCATTCAAACAAGACTGAGTATGGATATTCTGTGGACAGCTTCCAGAAACCAGTTGCTTTCAGAGTTTCTCAAGTCTTCACTGAAAATTGTGTTCTTAAGACAAAGTTGCCTTTGAAAACTGGATATGCATTATGGTATGTCTAATACTATTCTGCAAACTTTGAGCCCTGGCTATGTCAGTGTATCATCTATATACTTCCACTATAATTGCTATTTTGCAGATTTCTCACTTGAGATATTCAGGGGTCTGGAAGTTGAGCAGTGCTTGTAGCCCTTTGCAGAGCTGTAGGCAGGACATGAATGTGGAATGTTTCAGTGCGACTGCGCAGTTGGTATTCATTGGAATTAGTGACTGCTGTGATGCAGTTAATTGTCCATATGGATGTGTACAAACCTCCAAGATAAGAACCAGATCAGATTCCTCTCCAGCTGTCTGCAACACCTAGCACATCTTTTGTCTGTAATTAGGGAATGCAACTCTTCATGGTGAGCAGTCACTGCTGATGCATGGAAAGTATTTTTCAAGACCTTGTGGGAGAGAGCACGTAAGATGATGTGATGCAACCTGTTTTTTAAGAGAGCATAAAAGAAATAACAGTAACAGATAGAAGGGTGCTGGCAGAATCTTAATTCTGCTGCCTTATGAAGAAATTTTGCAAGAGAAAAGAGGCAGTATGTGTGCATATAAAATCAGCTCTGCCCATTGGCTTGTTGTGGTCACCTCCTTTCTGAAAGCTGTGTAGTGACAAGGTATGGAGCCTCAAGTTATGTGAGCCAAAAGCCTCAACTGTCTGTCCTGCTGCCTGGGAAAAGGAGTTGCTTATAATTACTTTAGGCATGCCTTTGAATTGCACCGCCATACATCTCACTCTGTGAATAGATCTCCTCAGCCAGTGCCTGGGTCAAATGGAAAAGAAAGAGTTAAGATCCTGTGATTAATTGTAAGTTGGACTTGTTTTTAATACTCAATATGGTAACCCGAATATATTTTGCTGTAATTTTTTATCTGCATAGAACATTAATTGTATGTACATACAGTAATTATCTCTCAGAACTGTATCCAAAATCATCTATTACAGATGATGATAAGAAATGATACTTTGTTTTTAACTATATTAATGATATCAGAGTACTTGCAAACTTGAGTTAATTAGTTGTCATTCACAGTGTCCTGGAGGGGGAGGTTAGTGCAATGCTCATGTCCCTGGGGGTTGTGTAAGCAGCACCTAATAAAGATTTCAAGGGAATTTTGGATCACTGTAATTTGTGTAAGGCTGAATGCTGGAAATTTATGTATGAGTTTGTCTATGTTTACACAGCATATAACACTGCCAGTATAGTTATGGAAACACAGATAAAACAAGCCTTGACCAGATCCAGCTGAGATGTGATTAAAGGCCATAAGAGGCCTAAATGGCTGATATTAATTATTCAGAGTGTAAAATTAGCAAATGACTAATTGCTTCATTTAAGTTGATTAGGGTTTCTTTTAGGTTAAAGAGCAATTGAAAAAACTCAAGGGAGTTCATGAAAATCAATGAAGTTTATAGGAGTAAGTTTTTACTTTTACTTTTAACTCTTTATGCAACAGAATCTGAAGTACCTGTGTTTTATTTACAGGCTGGTAAAGAATTTACGTTTTCCTTAAACTTTGTGCTTATCTAAAGCAAAAATCCAAGAGCATGAAAGGAATGTGAATCCCCCAGATAAGAGATTAATTCTCCTCATGAGGCGTTGTTCTCATGATGAAAACTCTACCTCAGATTTCTGAAGCTTGGTCCCACAGGTTTCCTGTCTGAATACTAGAAGTGACTTTTACTTCTGTTCACTCTTGTTTTCTGAAAACAACAAAATAAAGCCCTCTCTGTGTTGTTTACTGATCCAGTAAATCCTTTGGCTACAGGGATGTGAGGAATGTTCCTAAAATGGGAAGCTAAGTTTTTAGACCTGAGTGGCCTTCTCTAGTATTTTAAATATGCTGTTTTAAAATAGAAAATGCAGTATATATTTTTGTTGATTGCTTTTCCCCCCCAAAAAGGCAGTTTTAAAAGGCATTGAAACTTTCCTCTTGTTTCCTAAATAAGATCCACCTGAAAGATGTTATGAAGTTTGACTTTAAATATGAAAGTTGTAAAACTGTAGTTCAATTTAGAAAAGGGCATTTATGAAAATAGGTGTTACAAGGCAAAAATAAAGCTTTCAACTCAAATATTTCTTATTGGGAAAACAATAAAATTGAAACAACAACAACAAAAAAAAATGGAGCAAAAACCATTATCAGAGTGTTTTGTTTGGGATCTGTATCGCCTGCTGATGATTCAGGGAGGTAGACGTTTTGTTTTTCTTTCTTTGACTTTTCTTTTGTACAAAACTTTCCATGCTGAATCTATTTAAAAATCTTTTTGATTTTTTTTCACTGACCTATGAGAGTCACACACTTGTTTATTTTTAACCTGATTTTAAACTCACTGGCAATATTCCCTTTTTTCTCCTTTTGTATCTTTATGCCTGACATGGTCCATTCTTTCTAGTCAGTAACCAGAAGTCTTCCTGGTTGAATATGGTTTGGTTTTGGATCAATGTTTTGTATGCAGTACTATTTTGTTTCAGTATTGTTTAATTTTTTTCATTTTTTCCCCCTTGGTAGACGCAGGGTGCTAGCCATATCTGATGGCATTGAACATATTGGGAATCTTCGCTGGGAACTTGCACTGTGCCTCCTCGCTGCTTGGACTATCTGCTATTTTTGCATTTGGAAAGGAACAAAGTCAACTGGGAAGGTAGGGTTGAAATACTATGCATCAACTGAAGTATTACTCTCTTGTGCCCCAAACCTGTGTGTTATTATTTACCTCTCTTTACATTGTAATGGTAGAATTTTAAGTGCATTTCACATTTCTCTAAGCTGCATTTATAGAGTATATGAAGTACTAATACTGAGTAATTAAGAATTAGTCCTATATATATATATGTATATTTTTGCATTGGTTTGTTCCCCTTGGTTTTGTTCCCCTTATTTCCTAATTATTTTATGTGACGCTGTTTTTTTTTTTTTTTGTTTTCCCTGTAGTTGTTTTGTTAACTTAAGCTCCCTTAGCAGCCAGCCCTTGAACCTTGAGATCAGCAGGAGTTGTGTTGATTTCTGTACATATGGTATGAAAATACGAATTTGGTCCTAAACTGAAAAGGTTTGAAACTCTCAGTGACACAAACAAATTACACAAACAAGCAGAGCATTCAGAAATACAAGGAAACTGAGGAAAACAAAATTGATCAACAAAAGCAGAAAAAAACATTAAAAAAATAAAAACTCGGAGAGATGAAGATGGATGTATTAGGCAAAAATAAAAAACAAAATTCCGGCCATTCTATATTGGAAACCCAACAGAGCAATACAACTTCACAGCCTAAGGAAGTCCTGGGACAATGGAGGGGTCACCTCAGTGTAGTAGCAGACATAGATCTGAGTAGAATACGTGATTAGTTGAGTAAGCAGAGAGAGGAAAAGAGTAATTGTTCTGGAAGGGACCTAAGAAAACCCAATAGTTTCTCATGTGGAAACCAAAGAATACAAGAAAAAAAAAAGTGCTGGATTGCTGAAACTTTTTGTTTATCTAATTTTTAGTTGTTTACTACATGCTTAATTTGTAATTGTGGTTGAATTTTTTTTTTGTTTCTGTTTCAGTAGGCTGCCTTTATAAATGAAATATTTGAAATATAGTGTGTCGTTTTTATTATTAATACTTGGAAAATATAGAAATGACTTTTTCTAGCTTTCATGAGCACACTCATTCTTCTTCCTCTCAAAACTATGGCTCTAATTATTTGCTGAATTCTATTTCTCTCTGCCAACTGTGTCAGTCAATCTGGCACTGCATTTTTCACCTAAGTAATTTACGCAGATGAATTTAGACAGCCCTCCTTTTATCAAGTCACTGCTTGTAAGAAGCTGAGAGACACTGTCTAGAGATACATATAAGTAAGAATAGTTTAGAGAAAAGAGGGGGGAAAGAAAAGACAAAAAAATATAGAGAGGCAAAAAAGTGAGATAAAGGAATGGCAAGGTAAATATACATATGTCTTTGAAGTGTGTACTCCAGGGAGGTACGAGAGTGGTTTAGACCTACAATAGCAGCAAAGAAATGAAGTTGAGCAAAACCAATTTTTTTTTTTTTTTCCCCATCGGAAAGAACGTCTAAGGATGGATATCTATTCTAGCATAGAATAATCTTGTCCCAGAGGTGAAGAAAAAGCATGTATTTTGAATGCACATGTGTGCGTGAATACAGGGCTGTGCAAAACTGCGTACAGTACTCAAGAAAAATAGCATTGGTAGAAATGATCTGCTAATAGGAAGAATCTCTAGTGATCTCAGAGGGGATGTACTTTGTTTTAGCATCTGTGCAGTTTACATTTGGGTTTTTATTATTCACCACATACATATCGCATAAGATTCCTGCAGCTTATACCACTTGCCCAGAAAAAGATCTGGCATTTGAAAATGATTCAAGTGAAACTGTTAGATTTTTTTCCTGACAGCTCAACTAAACTCTTTTCTCACTAAGAAACGTAATAAATTTATTTTGCTTCAGCTTCATTTTGATAACCACCTTCCTGATGAGGTTAAGTGAAATAACCTGAGATAGAAACGTGTCTTGCCCACTTGAAAGAGGATGATCAGAATTAACTTAGCTATCTTGCCAAAGAAATGCAAAGAAAATGAAATTGGTGCTCAGTCTTCAGCTTTAGTGGTCTGTGAGGGGTCCTGCATGAAGTAGATTCATTATATATTTATACTACTGAGATTGTTTTGCCACAAGCTGTGCTTATATCTGCAAAATCATGAGGAAGTCACTGCTTCCTCACACTAAAGAAGACCACACTGTGGTCGTCAGCAGTCTGTCTTTCAGAGGATCCACTACTTCTGTTGCAGTAAGGTTATTTCATAGCCAGCACTGATCCTTTCTTATTTCATTTCTGCTCCTGTAATTAGTAAGGAAAGCCTCTTAGTAGTTCCATTTGCGATACTGCAGTTGGTTTCAGTGATACATTTTTTACCCTCATGTTAATTCATTTTTCAATTTTTTTTTTTTCAGAATTTTAATATTCTTACACTTGCCTCTTATCACTGAGAAGGTCCCTGCAAACCTGTGCCGTCTTACTGCCTCCTTAGACTTCCTAAGCGCAGATTTAGCAGTCAAATGTTGTGGGTGTTACAAAGGATCAAAATGCTCAGAAATAGAGATGGCAGAGCAGTTTTCTGGTCTCAGTTTCTATGTCTGCTATAATGGTGTTTTAGAAGTTCCTAATTAAGTTCGTTTATGTCTACTCTTTTGTGCTAGATTGAATTTCATTATGTGTTTATTTCCAGGAAGCATTTAAGATTTTCCTTTAGATTTTTATTGTAATATTAATTTTTTTTTTTTGCTAGGCTGTTAGGTTTCCTATACACGTCAGCTGAATTGATTATTTTCAATCAAATAACACATTTATTCAAAGCAGAAAATGCCTTGAAGTTTTTGGAGACACTGCTGAAGACTGGTGTCTGTGGGCCAGAATAGCAGAAGAGAAAGAGGAAGGGGAAAAGACAGAAGATGAAGGAGGAGAAAGATAAAAGTCAAAAGAGACATAATGTTTTCAGATAACTATGATCTGTGAAATATCCAAGAGGTCCTTTCCTCTTTTTCTCTGCATCCTAATGCATGATGGCAAGAAAAAAAAATCCAAGCAATAAAAGTTGTCATTAAATCAAACCATCATTCTCTGAGTAGCACTGATACAGAATTCATCTACTCAGATTATGAATGTTTAATATTTTAAATTAATAAATGTATTAAATCTAACATAAAGCTTAACTCCAAATGAAGTTCCTGTGACACTGTTAATGAGGTGTTTCAACCTTTTCCACTTAGAGTTCTTGAAACTCATCACTTTCTTGTAAAACCTTTTAGTTTTCCATTTCAATGAATGTCTAATACTAAAAAAAATTTCAGGTAGTTCTGACAGCTAAATATGTCAACAGAATGTTTTTCATATATTATAACTTACTGAGATTGATAACATATAACAATCTTGCCCCAAAATGCTCCCTAAGTTGAGGTAAGAACTATGGAGGAGACTGATAAAGATTAATTTTCTGAACACATTAGGTATCATCCTAGACTCTAATCATTAGCTCTTAGTTTAGTACTTCATCTTTGAAAAACACTTATGATTAATAACTATGGCAATTCTGCATATTTCTATGATGTGTACAGCTTACATAGTAGCCAAGTCTTGCTAATTTTTGATATTCAGATAACATTTGTGAAATCTTCATGTAGCAATGAAAAGGATACCAGTTCTTTTCTGGATCCTGTCTGTCTGTTTATTAATTTGATTAATTGTCCTTGAGCTTTAAACTTTGAGAAAGGGACATCAGAACTTCCTTATCAGTTCTTCCTAGAGTTCTTTCTGACTGTTAGATATTTTTCTATTTTTTTTCTAATATTTTTTTCTCTGGCATTACAGATATTTTTTCAGATAGAGATCACTCCTATGACCTCGTAGTGACTCCTTGTTTCAAAGAAGATTTCTATGCTAATCCATATTGTTGATGCGCGATATCATTTACATTTCCAAGAAAATAACGTAAAGATGCTCCACTGTCTCATTGCAAAGATTTAGGCCTAATGAATGAATAATGCAAACTCTGCTCAATATTTCAGTAGGTCTGCCAAAGGATATTATGAATATTATAAATTGCCAAAAGTCGCGTTTTGCAGAACATTTGTATCATACCAGATAATATTAACAAAAGAATTTGTGTTCCACCATTTCCTTCTTTGCTTACAACTCCTTCTTGATTATTTTTATATAGGGTCTACTACAATTAGAATGCTTATAGAATACATTATTAAATTATGGTTTAGTTACAAAAAGCAAATGGAATTATATTCCTTATGATATTGGTAAACTATAATAAAATTTAGAGTGCAGTCTTTTAGGATCATTTGGAAAAAAGAAATTCTTTAAAGGCCTCTTTATTTTTTAACTAATTTATGCATCACAGAGATGGCCTAATAATCACTGAACAGTATTTTTTCTGACTTTGATCTCTCAATGTTTTATCCCTTCCTAAATTTTGTGTTGAGTTCCCGAACTTCAGCACCACCCTAATTTTGGTTGTTGACCTTATGTGGTTTCTCCACTTACACTTCAAAGCTAAAACATAAGGGGAGGTTAAAAACAAAAACAAAAGAACCTGATTCAGAGATATAAGATTTGAGATATTGTACTGACTTAGCACCAGGACATTCAGGAGGGATAAACTCTTTCAGTTACTGAGTGCCTACAAAGCAATTGAGGAGTAGACTCAGAGCTCCTAGACACAGAGTTCCTATGTTTTGTCCTGTAGAAAACTGTGGATATCCCTCTAAAACTTGTTCTCGTTGTTGTTGTTGTTTGTTTTTGTTTTTAGATCATAATCGACTTTTAATTGTCTTGTACACCTTATCAAGCTTTGTCTTGAAAGCATGTCGGAAAACATTTTTATGGTTCTGTTTATAACTTGCTAACCACTTCAGCTCTGTGGGTACTCCATTAACCTCAGCACAGAAATTGTTGCTAAAAGGTATTGTTGTGCTCACATATATAAACAGTAGTCAGAATAGGCATTCATATAGATGCCCTCTCTACGTATATGTGAGTTATGTAAGATGCTTGATTAAACTGTACTACAACTGTACTACAAGTCGAAGTTTGGAAGAATAGCATAGTGATTACATGGCATCTCCTCCTA